TTCTAAACACATTCTAACCATCAAAACAAGGCCAGGACACCTCGTTTTCCTAACCCTAACCCTAACCTGGTGCACACCCCTAACCCTAACTGAGGGGTGAAGTTCCATTGAAAATAGGGCAATTTTGAAAAAGCCCCTCTTGAGTAGATTTTTCTGCCCAGCTCATCCTTTCTGCCCCTTCTAAACACATTCCAACCATCAAAACCAGGCCAGGACGCCTCGTTTGGCTAATCCTAACCCAGTGATGGCGAACCTTTTGGAGACCGAGTGCCCAAACTGCAACCCAAAACCCTCTTATTTATCGCAAAGTGCTGACACTGCAATAAAACCTGAAAACTGAGGTTTTAGTTTAGAAAAAACAACTCACAGCCAGTCCTAGTCAATATGTGTGTATGCTTGGCAGCAGAAGGCAAGAAGAGATTGGATTTCTGCTGGCATGTAGGCCAAAATTGGTCTGTTTTTGTTTGTATCTTCCTTTGCAACTGTGTACCTGTAGAAAGGGGAAATCGAAATAGAAAAGCAAGGAAGGAGCCTTGGGGCGGTTCAGCCCTGGGGAATGCCCAGTGAAGCGTCCTTTCTTTGCAAACAGGTCTTGCTAAAATTGCTCTCCCCATGGGGTCTGCTCGCTCCCCTTCTCGCAGCCCTCCTGCTTTCTGCTGCTGCTACAATAGCCTTGTGGAAGTTCCTCCCATCATCACTTGTGGCTCAGGGGTCAAGCAGAGCCCTCGGCCAGGCAGCCCCAAATCGTTGGGCCCGGTCCAAGCATGGATGGTTTCCGGTCTTCCGGCTACCTTGCTCTTCTCCTTCCTGCCTCTGTTTTGAACGTCTCCCGCAGGACGGCGAAACAACAAAGCGAGGAAAGGCTTTTGACACAAACGCAGCCCCTGGGGGGGTTCACTCTGCACATCACACACGTCTGCGGGGCTCCTCCTCCAACCACACATGAGCCCACCGATGATGCAGGGGGGCTTAGGACGGCCCAGCCTCTGCAGCATCCCTGAAGCTGTGCCAGCCGGCTCTTCCGCAGCATCCTTCTTAAGGTTGGGTACCCAACCCGGCACCTTCCCAATGGGCAAAGAGCCACCCATCTTGGAGACAGAACTCCATGGCAGCGAAACAGATGTGGTCCACTTCTGATCCCTGGATTGGAGGCAGGCAGGAAGCCCAGCGATCCAAAATGGACTTCAGAGCATCAGCACATTCATAGTCAAGGGCCAGGTGGCACAAGCTGGCCAGGTGTTACCGGTCTGCAAAGAGGGCCACGCTGGGCAGCCAGTGATGATGCTAAGAACCTGGGGCACCTGCCGCTCAGGTGTGCCACTGCATATAGGGAGAACGCCATCACCCTACATGAGGAGGGAAACAGAGGCTGATGCCCTGGAGTCGTATCGGCATCTCGCCAGCTTGTTTCTGCAGGAGTCCAGCTGCCTCTTCCCCTCTTAGCTTAACATCACGTGCAGTTAAAGGAATGCTGGAGCTGACGGGTCTGTCGGCACTCCCTGAGGTTCTGGGCTTTGGCCCACCAGCCAGAACTGATGCTGCTGCACAGGGAACAGGGCGGCCCGGCTTTCTTGGCCTTGGCAGCTCTTCTAGTCCACCAGAACATTCCAAGGACCCCTGCAATCGCTTGCAGATTTTGATACCTGAGGTTACATTCTGCCATGCAGCGAACACAATGAATTCCATGTGTTCTTTCTAAGAATTTGCAATTCCGGGTAGTTTTGACAGACTCTGCTCTCCAGAGTGTTGCTTGCTGTTCAGGGCCAAGTCGGTACAACCCTGAATCACACATTCCCGGGGGCAAAATGGAGATACAGATCTGAGGCTGGGCCCCTGGAATCTCAGGGAGTATTTAAGTCCAGATGAATTCATAAGGAACTCAGCAATGTGCAGAAGTTTAAAACCAAAGCAGAGCAAGGCAAGGGCCTCAGGAAACATTTTAAATGTTAATATTATTGAATTTTATCTGGCCAGGGTGGCTTATTTTATATTGTATTTTTGTATTTTAATCTGGTGTCTATATTTTTAATTTAAGATTGTAATTAATTTATTGTTGTAAGCCTCCCCGAGGCTTCGGCGAATGGGGCGGCATAAAAATTTTTTAATAAATAAACCAGGAAAGCAAAACAAAAGCAGAAAACTGTAATGTGGGTCGGAGGGGGTGAGTGATGTGGCTTAGCATGAAATAATATCCCAGTGCATGGAAGAAAGAAAGCGTTTAAATTCACCAGGACCAGGAAGAGGAGGAGGAGGAGTTTTTGATTGCATGCAAAAACTTACAACAGCAGCAAAGCCCTAACCGTCGCCTTCCCCTTTTGCAGATCAAGGCCTGAGCATCGGCACTGTCCTGGGGATAACATTTGGCGCCTTTTTGATCGGTGTTCTGCTCACCGCCACTCTATGGTACATCTACTCCCACACCCGTGAGTACCAGTGCTTCTTGCTCTTCTCCTCGTGCTGCCGGATGGGGCCCGGGCCAGGTGGAAGGTTGGGCAGCCCTGCAGACAAGGGGGCAGAAGCAAACGGGCGCTGCAAGGGACCCGGGGGGTGCCCTGGCTTTTGCTTGCTGGCAGCCCGTTCCGGAAGCCGAACCGGGCACCGCCTGGTGTATGGCAGCAGTGAAGAGGAGCAAGGGGAGTGGAAGAGAGAAAAGGCAGGGGAGCAGGGAGTGCGGGGTGGGGGGCACAGAGAGAGAGCCTGGGGGAGCAGTGACAGAGGAGGGGGGGGGGGCCCCCGGGGAAGACCGGGCACAGGGACGCCCACGGGGGGAGGTGGAGCAGCCTCGGATGGGGCAAAGCATCAGCTGCCGGCTGCGCTGCTGGCCGGGCGCCGCTACTTGAGGAAGAAGGACTCTCCACGTTCCCTTCCTTGCCTGCAGAACCGGCCGACTCGGAGGTTCGGCTGCTCCGGGAAGCAGGGAGCAGTGGAGGCTCGGGCAGAACTGCATGCTGGGGCCGAAGCAGGCGGTCCGAGAAGCTGTGGGGCTCGCGTGGACCCTCCTCAGGGGCAAAGGCCATTTCCCAAGGAGGGGAAGGCCCATCCCTTGGCTTGCAGGGCCCGTTCCGTCACCGCTGACGGAGCAATACTGCCTTCCGCATCAGCGTCTGGATGCACTGCCAGGATTTGGTCCGTCGCCTTTCGCAGTACTTGTCCTGGAACCATTTTCATGGAAGCCAAACGGAGCTCTTGGGACCCGGGACAGCGTCTCCTTCCAAGCATCTGACACCATCCACAGCAGCCTTCCCCAGTTTGGTGCCCACCAGTCGCTTTGGACTACAGCTGCAGGGTTCCTGAACATTGGCAAGGCTAGCCAGGGCTGATGGGAGCTGAAGTCCAAGCCATTCAGGGGCACCATGTTGGGAAGAGCTATAGGCTGGTCGGTCAGGCAGGGGTCTTCCCCGTCTCACCGGGGGGTGTCAGGGTTGGAGGGTGGGCGGCCCAGTGCAAAGCAAGTTCTCCTCCACCAAGCCCAGCCTCCACTTCCTTGTTGTTCCATAGTCCATCTCCTCCCTTCCCATCCATTCCCAAGGAACATCCTGCCGTGGATAAGATATCCACATCGTTTCTTAATCTCCGGAAAGGAGTCCAGAAATTCAGGCCTCCTTATCTTCCTCTTTCACTGGCTTGGTCCGCGCACCCTCGGGAAACAAGGCAGCTGTTTTCCCTCTTGCACTCAATGGGAAAGCCGCTCACCGGCACCCGGATGCACGGGATGGTTCCCCCGGGATGCAGCTCAGGGCCACGAAAGCGGTATCTTGCCCTGGCCATGTGCTTCGTGTCTCTTGTCAGCTCGCAATCCGGCCAGCTGTGAAAAGCCACCCGCCCTCCTCACGCTGCCAACGTTTTCTCCCGACGCCTTCCAGGTCCGATGGCCAAAATGCAGCCCGTGTCGGCCAACCCGCCTGCCTCGGAGAGCAGCAGCACCAACCACAGCATCGGAAGCACCCAGAGCACGCCATGTTCCACCAGCAGCATGGCATAGCGAGCCCGGTGGGGGACGCCGCCGTGCGGACGCTGTCCGAGCTGCAGACGGTCTGAGCCCCCCAGCCGGGCACGGGAACGTCCCGAAAGCAAGAGGCTAAACAGCAGCAGCGGCGGGGCCTCCTGGGAGCCCTGGTTCTCGGAGGCATGGCTGTTCCCAGCCAGCACTTTAAAGACGACCCCCTGGACGAGGCCACAATCCCCAGAACCCCGTCCGCGACTCGAGCATCCGTTCATCCCGCTTGCTCCTCCTGCACGACGAGGGAGCCCGGTGCGGTCCCGTGGGGGAAAAGAGCCCTTGTCTAGCCGGGACTGGGAAGCGTGATCTGCAACGAGCAGGCAGAGAATCCAAACACAGCACACCTTTCCGGCTTTTAGAGTCAGTCTCTTGTTGAGACCTCTCTGGGGGGCGGAGAGCTGTGGGCACCATCGGCCTGGGTTTGGGGGCCGCCCCTTCCAACAGCACCCGTGAGTCAAGGGCAAGTTGCTTCCGGAGAGAGGGCCAGCTTTGGAGCAGGGCCAGGAGGAGGCCACCTCGGCTGGTCTTCCATGGCTTGTGCCACCGTCCTCAGCCTGGCGCCTCCCATTGTGGGGCACTTCTGGCCATGGCGGCCGAGAATCATGGGGATGCCAGTCCAACACAGCTGGGGGCACCTGGTTGCAGGACCTTGGTCTGCACCACAATTATGGGAAGCCTGAAGCATCCACTCTGTCCTACAGGAATCGGGTTCATTTCCCTCCTTGCTGCCTCCAATTTTGCAGCATCACCACCAGAAAGTGTAGAAATGTCCGGGGGGGGGGGGGGGTCAGGCCACATGGCAGGGCTGGTGTCATTGTTCCAGCGCCAAGGACGTGACGTTTCCACCAGTCCCGTCCCAACCGTGCCTTTGTCCTGGTGGGGAACTGGACCATCAAGGTCGGTCTGGGGTTGAATTTGCCCCCGTGTCTTGGAGCACAGCAGTTCCCTTCGCCCGGCAGCAGGCAGCAAACCCCAACCCGGACCTGTCCATTCAAGAACAAGGTGGCTAAAAGAGCACAGCATCTTAGATCCTAAAGGCATGGGAGACCCGAGAGGGAGGGGGCAGCAAGGGGGACCCGGACGTGGGTGGCATCTTCCTCCTCGGAACGGCTCTGCCCTCAGGTCCCGACCAGTCCGTGCTGTGCTAGAAGGGCTCTTTGCTCTGGAGTCCTGTTGCGATTTGGGCTGGTGGCAGAGCATCCCGGGGCTTTGCTCCTCCGGCGCCAGCAGCTGGTTCGGGTCTCCGCAAGCAGCAGCGTCTGTGCCATGCCACACGCAAGAATCCCTTGGAAAGGATGCACCCAGCTGAGCTCCCCTGCTCCCGGGCACTGGATGAGCGGAGGACGCCCAGTGCGCAAACACAGGCAGCCGGGGGGACCTGGGAGTCTCCCCGGCCCTCGCAGGGCCCGACCGTGTCTTCCTGGACTGCGGTGCAGAGGGAGATGGCTGAGACACTCTCCGCCGGAGGTTGCTCTGGCTTGTCTCGGGCTAGATAAGGCCAGCCGAAGACAGGCGGTCTGGCTTCGCTCCTGGGTCGAGGGGAGCTGCGAAAGACAGGGCAGGAATTTTCCCTCGTCCTAGGAGATTGCCCTTCTGCTTGGGTTGCCAAACAAGCACATCTGTGCTCAGTCACTGTATTCCCAACACACACCCCCACCCAGAGCTGTGATTGCTGCACTAGACTGCACCTCCAAAGCACATCTCATGTCTCCCAGATGCTGCACTCCTCTACCACCTCTGCAGCCAGCCAGCCATGTCACCTGAAACATGTCGGGGGGGGGGGGGAGTAGAGTGTGTTCAACAATTGTGGGTCCTGGCAAGTCCCGAAGAAAGAAAGACCCCCAAATAATCAAGAAGGGCATATCAAGATTATCTCCCCAAATGCAGCCGCTCTCCTTGAAGCACAAGCTGCTGCTGATCTTCTTTAGCTTGACAAAACGGGGCACGAAAAGCGAGCCACTTCCCCCAAACACCTGGAAAAGATGGGCGCGAACAGCTTTCGACGCTGCCGGTGACGGAGGCTGCCAAAACGGGGAGGAAGGCCGTTCCACGCGCTGCCCGACCAAGGGCAGGGAGCTGGGGCCGATTCTGTTTGAAGTATTATTACTGTATGTATATAGCTATACATAGAATATATTTTGTATCTGGGCATACAGGGAATTAACACGGCATCAATCTGCTTTTGTTGGTCTGCTTTCTGGTGCACAGGCAGAGAGAGGAGGCCGCAGGGGCTGGGCTGCGTGGGAACCGTGTGTTCTTGACCCTGTGCAGGCAAGCAATATGGGGCGGGGGTAAACAAAGTCCCACAAACTGCAAAATCAAGAACTGTGGGGAAGAAGGGGAGGCTGTGAGAAAGGACTCATGAGAAACAGCTCTGGGAGGTTCAGCCGAACCCAGAGGCAAAATATTCCTTAATGCTGCAGAAGGGCTCCATCCAACTTTCCCACCGAGATCGGAAACCCCTTTGGGGAGGGTTCGGGAAATGTAGGAGGGGGTGGCAGCTGTTTAAGGGCTCGCCACCGCTTTCGGTCAATGCAGTGTTGGCTCCAATGTTAGCCAAGACACCCAGAAAGGAAACTGCTCGGTCCTTTTCTCCCCATTCCCAGTAGAGTTACAAGCTGGGGCACACGGGGTCACTGAGCCAGATGCCGAAGTCATCTCCTGCCTCCTCGGACTTCCCCCTCCAAGCTTTTCTGCAAACCTCACAGGAGCCAGCAGGGCCCTGACTTTTCCCAGCAACAGACTTCGTTGTTATGTTATTTCATGGTAACTTGCTCTGGGCCACGGGCAATTTGGCTTTGTAAAAGAGCTTCTGATGGGGATGAAATCGGCTGGCACTGATCTGGACCAGCCGTCCCTAGTTTTCGTGCTTTTCTCGGAGACGTTGCTATGGGAACTGTCAAGATGAAGCCACGGCATCAGCACCAGAATGCCACGATTTCTTCCTCTAAAATGAAAATAGCAACGCATGAAGGCCGCATGCCTTTCCCCCACTTACCTGGAAGTAAGCCCCACTGAGACTTCATCTGAGTAGACATGGATCTTTTTGCACTGTAAGTCCCCATCCGTGTTTCCCCTTTCCCCATATTCGGACAAGGCCGTGTCACTTCAGCAGGGCCAGCTCTGCCTGGCTCTTTGAGCACAAGGGGAAGGTCAAGATCGCTTTTTGCTGATGCCAGTGCAGGACCCGGAACTATCAGTTCAAGTTGCGACAACCCAGGTTCAGGTTGGACGTCAGAAGCTTCCTCACTGTCACAGCAACGCAACAGTGGAACCGGCTGCCGGGGGGGTGGGGGGCCCTCTCCCATGCTGGAGGCATTCAAAAACAAACTGGACAGCCCTCTGAGTGGGATGGTGCAAACTGGTGTCCTGCACCAGCAGGGGTTGGACTAGCTGGCCTTCATGGCCCCTTCCAACTCTACTATTCTGATCCTATGAAGTTTCTTGGCTTCTGCAGAGCTGGGAAGCTGGCCTCTCTCCAGATTGCCTGAGAAACAAGCCACTTTTTCGTGCCACACGGACACTTTTGCCCCACGCTCAAGTCAGTCAGTGCTCGCCAAACTCAAGTAGTTATGCAGTCATAAATACAAAAGCTATGACTAGCTTAATTAAAAATACTGATTCCCCAACCGCCCCAAATGATGGCGATAGCTCAGAATGGAATGGGCGCACACCAGACACCAACCGGCATGGCGATAGGCTGTGGGGCAGCACCGAAGCGCAAGAAATAAACATCTTCCAGCACGGTGAGCTGGAGCATGTAGTCACAGAGCTCAGGGCAGGCCTGCTCAGGAGGAGTCTGGCTTCACATTCACCTGAATCGGGCCCAGCTGATTACGCGGATGACCAGGCGGCCAGCGGCTTCCTACAGGGACGGTGCTCCTACACAGCGAAGTCTGGGAGCAGTAAAATACCCCCAAAATATCAAAGGAACGTGTGCTAAGCCGCTTGCCTACCGGGCGAAGAAACCCACTCCTCACTCACCCAGGCAGCATCCAGAGAGCACGCTGAAGCGACCTGTATTTTGACCTGTACATATTTCCATGCAGTGGCAACTATAACCCTAATTAGTCTATAAAATGTATTATGTGTAAGCTCGAAGTTGTCTAGAGTCCTCTTTAATGAAAGACGCCGGCGGCTGACTAGAGAACCCCTCCATCCCATGGGGCTTTGCTGATCCGTAATAGCAGGGTCCTAGAGTCACTTCTGCTAAAGGTGCTGAACCCAAGTGCAAGACCGCCTGCCCACCGAGCGTCCCACCAGGTCAGCCGCCTTCCCCTCCCCGGCCGAAGCCCCTTCTCTTGGCCTCTGGCTCCCTGCCCTGAATTTGCTCCCGAGGCTAAGAGGCTGCAAAACTGACTTCACGGAGGCAGCTCACATCCCCAAGCCGGCTTAAGTGGGAAGGGATAGCAAAACTGATTACAGGAAAACTTTCCAAGGCTCCTGTCACTGTGGTACCTTAATTAGACCAATCTGAAGGTCCAAAGACACCGTGCAAAGGCTTTAAGCTCTCTGGAATGCTTCTTGAAGCGAGAGGGTAAATAGAGCAACAAAAAAATGAATAGAATTTAGAATTAAAAAGAGGGAAAATGCAGCTTCACCACCTTGCCTGAGGAAGCATTCTGGAGAGCCTAAATATTGGCGCTTTCTAGGCTCCAGGCAGTTTCCAGAACCTGCTACCCATCTGCCTGATCCAACCCCCAGCTGGGAAGGCTTCCTCCTCCCGTCCTTCTGTTGAACTTGGATTCCTACCCAACACTTCAACCAATATCAAAATCAGCTAGTTTGGAGTGTTTGGTTGCTGCTCCAAGAGCCTTCCGCAGGTTGTTCTGGGAAAAATGGCGTCCCCAAATTGCTGGGACAGCAAAATATGTATTTTTCCAGATCTTTCTGGACTCAAGAGCGCGCCTGTCCTTTTCCCATGCACAAACAGCATTACAGCAACCTCTAGTGACCAAGCAAAGCTTTACAAGATGCAAGGACCAGACGCTCTCACCCCTTCCTGCCCAGATGGGAAACACATGGAAAATGAATTTAAACAGACTCGGAGAAAGCAATGCTAATCGTGCATCACTTCAGGAAAAGCCTCCATTTCCAGGCAAAAAGTTCCAAGGAAAACTCTACTCACTGCTATACTGTTGAGGAAACGAAATCAATCACAGAGGATGCGCCTCCGAGCAAACGGCGTTTTGTTGGATTGAGGATTTTGTTTCCACAAGACCCTTGTGCTCCTTCCGAGAAGTATCAGATGCCCATCGCAAGGCCGCTTTGGGCTGGTTACCAGGGGCCATTTCGGTGTGCGAGCACTGGGCCCACAGCAGGAGCACGGGGCTCAGGACTGTAAAATCAAGAAACACGGCCGAGGGGGCCGAGGTCTCGGAGAGCAGCCCCCCACCTCCCTGGCAGCTCCGGGGTCTTTTTCTGGCAAACCCAAGAAGCCGAAAAGTGCAGCCAGTTGATTCTTTATTTAGAGCATGTTCTCAATATCCCCAAACTTGCTTTTTCTAACGGAATAGCTCCCTGAAGTAAAACTTTAAAAACTATTAGATTTCATTTAAAACCTAGGAAAATAAAATAAAACCAGCCTTCTGAGATAAATTACTTCTCAAGTCTTTACATTCCCTGCCCTTTCCAAAAGGGAGGCAGAAAAAGAGAAACGGTTCTTTGGGGGAGCAGGAGGACTGTTCAAAATTGGCCTCTTACCACCTGCCACAGGTGCTCTGAAGGTGAAGAGGCAACCCCACCAGCTGCCAGGGCTCAGGCTGACTTGGTCAGTGCAGAACGAAAGCTGGGTTCCAATTAAGCTTCCCTTCCTCACTGTTCCGTGTGGAACAGGGAAGCGCGCGTGCGCGAAGCCCAGAAAGGAAGCAGTGTGCGAAAAACACGCGAGGGTCCCGGGGTGGGTTGCCGTTACGCTGCCGGTCTCACATTGGTCCTGTCGGATCGGCTGAGAAGACCCCAGAGGGGAGAATGTTGCGGTTAAGACCACAATTTGGATTTGGCCATTCTGAACTTGCATAGAGCTGAAGTCTAGTGGTTGTGCTACTCTGCTAGCATGAGGTCTGTTTTTTTCTGTGTGAGGTCTGGGAATTCCTAGGGGGCAAGCCATAAACACGGGCATCCAAATGGGCTGTCAGCTATGAATCCCTTCCGGAAGGCTCCCACTAGTTCTGTGGGAAGCCCCACCAGGCTCACCTGGGCAGGTCGCAGCTCCAACTGCGGCTGCCTCTGTAAAAACCATGTGGAAAGAGGTATTTCCCGTTTCCTTGCCACCTCCACGAGGATTTTAAGTTCCCCAAAGCATATTTGATTTCAGTGCCTGCCCCCATGCTGGGCGGACATCAAAATGGAGGACGAATCACACTGGTGTGCGATTTACCAAACTGACATGCACCCCAGGATGTGCGGAATGGAAATATCCGGATTTCTTCCGGCACAGAAGTGCGAATCAGCAAGCAAACAGATGCAGGATGCCAGAAACAGCATCCACCCCGCAGCTCTGACTCAGCTCCCCGAACGAAAGGCGGCATCCCTGGGCCCCAGGCGGATGACTCGGACCACCATCCCGTCCTGCTCCTGGTGAGCAGCAAAAGCACTTCAGGGGCAAAACCCCAGCCTAAAGGTTCCCTGCTTGGGTGGGGCTTTAAAAGGGGAGAGAGCTGCCTGAGGGGAAGCCCCCCAGAGCCGCCCGAAGCCCCCAAGAAGAGGCAGAAAGGTGGCGGAAGGCAGCAGCAGGCACCCACCCCACCGTGGGGGGAGAGGGCGAGGATGATGCAGGAGACGAGCTGGCCGAGGGCAGCGGCGATGAGGCGAAGGCACGTCGGAGACCCCAGTCGGAGGCGCTTGGCTGCTCCCAGGACTGTGAGGGGAGCGGCCGCCAGGCAACCGAGCATCCCTCGCTGGGGCCGAGGGTTTCTGCTTGGGGGGGGGGGTGCTGGGCTGGCCAGGCAGCCCCACAGGGAAGGAAAGGGACCGACCCCACAAGTCCCGCCGGCTGCTGGAGGGGAAGCCCGGGGCAGAAGTGGAGGGCGGCATCTGCCTGAGAAGGAAAGGAGCGCTCTGTGGCGCACGCCCTCGCGGTGCAGGGAAGATGGGCCGGCCGCCGTGGCGGTTGGCAGCGGGCCAGGGCTCTGCTTTGCGGGCCGTTCCAGGCGGGCCGTTCATGCCGCTTCGGACGGGTCACACGCACCAGCCCGGCGGTGCTCCGGCTACTGGGAAAGCGACTGGTCCAGCAGCTTCAGGACGCCCCCCACCAGGTGCAGGCTGCCGGTCACCAGGACCCGGATGACGGCCGCTTCCTTCAGCAGGACGGCCCCGCTGCTGGCCACGGGGTGCGGGTGCAGCCCCCGGGGGGGCGGGGGCTGGACATGCGGGTCCCTGCCCTGGGCGATCCACTGCAGGGCCTGAGAGATGCAGGGGAAGACCAAGGAGCTGGCGTTGAGGGGGCGGGCCAAGGGGGGCGCGAAGAGCAGGGGCCCGTGCAGGGAGGCCGGCTTCAGCCAGCCCCCCACCCCCTCCACCTCCGGGGAGACGGGCAGCCAGGGGTCCTGGCTGCCCCTCGCCTCCATCAGCCGGTTCCAGGAGCTCTGGTTCTGCAGGCACCGGGTCAGGACATTCTCCAGCGTGACGGTGAAGTTCTGCTGGTCTGCAGGGACCGGAGGAGAGGCGACCCGTCAGCGACTCTGGCAGCCATCCCGCCCGCCAGGTGTGCTCCACGCCTCGGATGCTGACCCACGGGCCCTTTCCCCCCACACCCGAGCTGAGATCCTGCTTCTGGGGCGGCCGCAGCTCAGCGGCAGAGAATCCCCTGCATAGCCTCAAGGCACGTGTATCCCGCCTTTCTTCCCTGCGAGAAACCCAAGGCGGTTTACAGAAACCTCCATGTTATCCTCACCACAACCCAGCAAGGTAGGCAAGGAAGTTTTGTAGGGCTTCCATTCTTACACTGGTTTACTTTCAGGGCAATTCCTGCTCTGCTGTCATTTTATCCACACCCCCACCAGGAGGCTGGGCTCGGGGAGGTAGACTGGCGTGGGGTCAAAGGCAAGTAAGGTGGCGCCTTAGAGGTTTTGGACTACAACTCCCATAAGCCACAGCTATCCTAGCTAGCTAGTAGTCAGGGGTGCGTTGCAATATATCTGGAAGGCAAAAGCATCTTTTCAGATGGAACGACCATCCTTGAATTACAGTGTGGATACTGTGCCTGTTTTCACGAGGAGACACAGAGACCGTTTTCACAAGGGGCTGACACGAACCTGCATTCCCCACCGTGGACACCTCGGTTAAATTGGGGCAGAAAACTGCATAGTCGAACTGGCAAGCCTGAAAAGAAACATCAACAAACCGATATAAAATGAGACACGACATTCAGAAAGAAGCAAGGGTGACGTCGTTCTTGGACTGACCCATGCCTGACACGCCTGCACGCACACGTGAACGGATCCTATGTTTCCGCGCTCCCCAAACAGGCAGTTCTTTGCACATAGAAAGCAAGCATGCCAAGGAGAAAGGTTTACCCTGACAAGCTACTTTTCCCCATGCAGAGAATTTTCTTTCGGCACAGAGGAGCTTTGAAAGGTTAACTCTGAAAAAGGCCACATCCAGTCACCTAATAATTCCTCTTTCCTCATAGCCTGACCCAACAAAATGAATCTAACCGAATCTTTGTTAGCCAATCTCGATCACTTCTTGCGGAGGGCAGCTCAAGCTGTTTTCACCATTCAGAAATGGTTCCCTGGCCCTTTTCACTCAAAGGTTAACCCAAATCTTTTCCTTCCATGTACAGGACCCTCTGTACTTATATTTATATTATCTCTGCTGCTTATATTTGCTTGTCACTGTGTTAAATTATTCAACCCACCCAACTCGATCCGTGAGCTGCCCTTACAGGAGTGTTCAATGATAGAGAGGTCCCTTTCAGGAGAACACAGCAAAATTTAAAACCAAAAATCCAGGATAGAATTTCAAACGTTCCAAAATGACAACTAAAACTACAGGGCAGCATCTATACAATGACAAAGCCTTAACTCCCTGAGAGGCCAAAATAGAGGGGGTAAAGTAGAACCGTGTTCCGCAACAGGACAAGATTTGATTTTTGTTAAGTGTGAGTCAAGACAGACTCACCAGGAGGAGCTTGAGCAGGGCAGCTGTGTCGCGGTCCCCCGTCATGTTGAAGAGCAACACACGGACTTCGGAACCACTGCAAACACAAGGAAAGATGCCCGAGTGAGACCCTCTAGCAGCCCAAGGCAAGACGACTCCCATCCCCGGAAAATCAGTCCCGCTGGATCAGAGCACAACGAGGCTCTATTTAGCAGAGCGTCCTGTTTGCAAAAAGCAACCTGTGGGAAGCCCAGAGAGGAGGACTTCTTTCCCACCTGTCCACCAGAACCTGGGATTCAGAGATACGAATGCTCGGAGTCCCAGCCAGGCACCCGCTTTCCCACAGTGCTCCATCCCATTTTCCCAGCTCTGCGTTCCCCCTCCGCATCCCACAACAGTCCATCAGCATCCTGTGGTCCACTGAGCCCCGTCTGGACTCTTCGGGGACTGCCCTCACCCATTAGGTTCATTTTCCCCTGCAGTTTTCCCTTTCGTCTGCATTTCTGTAAAGCATCGGTTCCTCAGAGTCCGCCAGCATCTCCCCCTTGCGTGTGGGAGGCACCATTTTGACCGGGCAGGACTGGCGCACGGGCAATTGCACTGCGACTGGTGCATGGCAGGGCAAACCAACATTTGGGACTACAAGTCGCCTCATCCCTGGCCTTCTGGGATCACCAGAGGCAGAATTACCAGATCCAGGCCGCAGGCGGCCTCTCTCCCTGTCTCATCCCCTCTCTTAGGCCCGCCAGCTACACTCCGTGGGGCGAAGGCACAAGCCCAGAAAGTCACAAGCTCTGAGTGGGCAGCAAATCCCAGGCATGAGAGATATGGGAGTACAATCCCCCACTGCCCCTCAAAACAGTCTATCTTCCAGCTTCACAAAATCTCGGCAATGGATGCTCAAAAAACTCAAGAGAATTTCCAGGCGGGACTTCGAACTAAGTTCGGGGGGTTGAGAAGCTGCCACCTCTGCGGAAGCTGACAAGCCCCCTGTTCCAAGTGCTGCTGGAATGCTGTGGCACGCCAAAGCAACAAACAAGCACGCACACACACACACAAACACACCACCACAACTCCTGCAAAAACATGGCGGCTTGCACAGCAGGAACCAAGGTAGCTTGTCTCCAATCTACCTCTGCCCCTTTCCAAGCCTTCACCAGCTTTTGCTGTCCTTTCGGGTTTGCCCGGTTCCAAGTTCTTCCAGCTGAGCCTGGCTCTGAACGAGCATGCCCGAGAGCAGTCCTACCGCTCAGTTCCTCCGCCGAAAATGCAGATGCTCCAGAGGCTAACTCAGGAGGAACAAACGGGGAACGGAGGCGTGCAGCCGATGCCTGGAACGGGGAGGCCGGCGAGGTTGGGCTCAAGCAGACTCACGCCACACAACTTTGCTTGCGCACTGGGAAAAGGCTGTTTGCTGCCCCACTTACCTGGCCGGCTTCTCCTCGCTGAGGGCCTGGCGGAACCAGCGGATGCAGGCCTGGATGCTGCTGGTGGTGTGGGCCCCGTCGACATACCACATCACCGGCCCGTGTCTCAGCACCTGGTTCCGTCCCAGCCACACCGTGTCCTGCAGCCCTGCGGAGCAAAGGAAGAGCAGGGATGATCGGCGGGACGGCTCCGCACTTCCCCGCCCCGTCGACTCTGCGGGCTTCTCCTGATCGAAGGCCTGGCAGAAGCAGATCTGCATTCTGCAACCCTGAGGGGGCCTTTCTGGGGTGCCCCCTTGCTGCGGGACGCCGTTCCCCAATAAAGCTCTGCTTTCAGCTGCATGCAGAGCGGCTTTCTAAAGGGGCCTTAGAAAACCCATTTCCCTGCCTTTTGTGGAGATGTCGGACTGCTTCTTTTTAAAATAATTGTTTTTTAAATTTAATTTAATTGTTAGTATTATTTGCTTATTTTATCTGGCCAGGGCGACTTATTTTATATTGTTAATTTGTTGTATATTTGAATGTTTTGTATTTTAATTTTATGTTGTGAGCCGCCCTGAGGCTTCGGCAAATGGGGCGGCATAGAAATGTTTTAAATAAAATAAAATAAAATAAATAAATAACAAATAACAAACAGAAAGAAATACGTAAAATTAAATATAAGTAATAATCTATTTTACTGTTTAAACTGCTGCCGATTTCCTGGTAAACTGGTTTAATAAAGAACTGGGCTGTGCAGTGTTGAAGTAATGGGCGATTTCAGGGTGGCTTTGGCAGAAGCGCATGATTCACCTTGGAAAGCGTTTGCCCTGAAAGGTGTCCCAGAAATACCTGAAGGAAGAAACCAGCTGGAATTCACTGGCCCTAGCAGCACACCCAACTACTTGCACTCAACCAGCCTTCGCCAGGCCGGCCCTGGCTAGCTCAGCCCGCGTCAGCCGGCAGCCTGCAACTTTCCGCTTGCTTAGACTGAACGCCTTTTGAAATTCGATGCCCCTTCTGCGGGTTTGGGGAGATCTGCTGCAAGTCCTTGCAACCCCTTTTCGTTTTCCTCATGCCAAATAATTCGGTGTCATCAAACTGGCCACTTGGGACACCACTGTAAATGGGAGAATTTACGTCTTCCAGGCCTTCCAGTTGGGAAGCTTCTTTCCATATCTGTTGGAATTGGTCATTCCAAACTCAAACACTCACCTCTTTTAAATAGGTATTGGGCATCTTGCAAACCCTTTAGAAACTTGACCACAGGTTTATTTTTCCCCTTCTTCCCCTCCATCCCCTATTCCTTTAGTGCAATATTGTTTAGACTGTATGCCTACGAAGTGGGGCCGTTCTTGCTTTTCCTGACCACGTGGAACCCTCCCTGCGAGCCTTCCCAGCCAAAAGCACAATAAACATTTTAAATAATCAATGGAAAGCTGGTGTTCTTAACTCGGGAGTTGCCACCCTTTCTCCTTGCCTGACGCTGCACTAGACCGATCATCAGCAAATGCATCAAGGCCGCAATGGTTCGAACGCTCCAAAGGAATTGTACGGAAGGGCCCTTCTGTCCCAAACAGGGATAGCCACTTCCCATCTCTTTCCACTCATTTTATGGGGAGAGGAAGCCGGAGAGGCCTTGGATCAACCCGTCTTTATGTGAGCCGTCCCGAGGCTTTGAGCGATGGGACGGCATACAAAAATTCTAAATAAATAAATAACAAACAAAACATGTCCCGGCTGACCCTCCCTTATTATGAAAAATACCCCGTTTGCTCCGGGCTGGTCAAATGCCAAGGACACGGCGGAACTTCAGCAAACTCAAGCCGCTGTCCGGGGTCACACAGAGGGGGCTCAGAGAGGGGCTGAGCTGAGCCCCTCTTACCTTGCACCGTTGCTTCCCTCAGCTTGAAAGTGGGAGCCAGCGGGGGCGCTTTCTTCTCCAGCAGCTCTGGCTTTGGCCATGGACTCTTCAGGTCCCCGATATCTGTCCAGAGAGGGCCATTGTCATCAGCCAGTCCCTTAAGTTGCAACCCTAAGCAGGTCTTTTCATCTGGAGGCTAAACCCTTCCATTGGAGAACAGCCCTGGATGGCGTCCTCCACCGACCTTTTACCCACTTCCCCTGCCCCAAACATACAAGCCTTCAAAAGGACTACATTCCTGCTACATTCCTAACCAAAGTAGGAAAACACGCCAATTCCCAGGGGTGACCCAGTTGCGAATTCTAAGCCGCTTTTTCTGCCTCGGCGTGGATGAAACGGCACCCTAAATCTTGTTATCTGTTGTACCCGAATCGGGATTAAGAAAAGTAATCAGTGGCTTCGCTCAAGATTAAAAACAAGGCAAACCCAGGACCATAAATCTTATGGAGAGGACGGTCCACACGTACTACCAGAACTTGCACTTGTGGGTGACACCGAGTTAAGAGTGCCACTAATTTTGCCGATACGGAAAAGCCCTCATCCGTCCATCAGTCCTGACTGTTGCCGCTTCCCATACTCCTTCCCGACGGTTAAGCACAGCTCGTTCTAGCACGGGCTGCGTGTCGCGCACACCTGGCCAACAAAGCGCCCTCCTTACCCAGGTAACCGTGCCGCACCAGCCACACGCGGGAGAGCTGCAGGGCCAGCGCTGCGTTGGAGCGCTGGTGGTCGCCCGCCAGGCCCAGCCGAAGGGGCCCCTCGTCATCCTCGAAGGCATCCAGGTCAGGGCAAAGATACAGCGGGCTCTGCGGAAGCAAAGGGCCGCCCGGGTTAGCTGCCCGGCCGCGTGGGGGCCGGAGCTCAGGCAGGGGATCTGGCACCCGTCCTGCTTGGGGATACTGGGCTGCCCCTGCCACTGCCGGGCCGGATGGACTTGGGTCTGATCCAGCAGGGCTTTTCTGGTGCTCCTACCAGTTGGTGTACCAAGCATCCCTCAATCGGCTCTGCATTCAGAACCATAAGGACTAGAAGCTTGCTTTATTTTGCTACTAGCTCAGCAGTAGAGCCCCTGTTAAAACATGCACTGTCTTTCCAGGTAGGACTAGGAAAGACCTGTTTGAAACTGGGAGAGCTGCTGCTGCCAGTCCATGCTGGCAGTATCAGGCTGAGGAACCTGAGGGCTGGATTCAGTATGATGCGGCTACACTGCCCCTCCCTTCACACTGAGGCCAGCAAGCACAGTCGTAACCTGCCCAGGGGGCCGGGTGGCTCAATTAATTAACCAAATAAAACATCAAATAATAAAAGCTGGGCAAGGCATGGCTCCCTCTCCACAGGTCCTTTCCTGCCTGAAATCGCACCCCGACGGCCGGAGAGAGAGCAGCCCGCCAGGCTGGCTGGGCCGGACGGATGGCACCACCCACGCGTCGCCCGGAAATCGTGCCAGAGCAGTGCGGCTGAGTTCGGTGGCGTGAAAACCCAGGAGAAACGCGCCCCCCCCCCCGGCCGTGCTTTGTGGAACGCCTTACCGATTTTTTCTGGGCTTGCTCCTTCAGAACAGCCAACGGCCGGTCCGGCTGCGGCACCGTGAACGCCGGCACTCCAGGCTGCAAAGGAAGCCCAAGGGTTACCCGAGAGCAACGGTGCAGCGCCTTGAAAAAGCAGGACACAGACCGGGCTCCCAGGGGCGGCCCCTGCTCCAGCCCCATCTGCCCCAGCGCCCCATAACTGCAGCATCTCAGCACTGGTTGCTTATCTGCTGCTGGGCCAGGCCGAAGGTTTGAAACGGGTGTTCAGAGCCCTTAAACAGCTTGGGGCCGGGATACTTCATCGAGCGCTTGTTTATTATTTATCAAAAGCTTTTCTAACCTGTCCACCACAGACGTCACGGGAGGGCGTACAAGGATGTAAAATCCCAGAGATCTTTGCTTGGGCTCATGCGTATGTTTGCTTCAAAGGGGTAAGTTTCTAGGCCTCGTTGAGATCAACGAAAGCTAAACAGACTGCTAAGGGGAGAGCGCTGGCTGGGAATCGTAGGAAGGGGAGGCATGGAATGCTCATTCTGAAATTTCTTAACGAGCTAGCTCTTTGAATGCTCAGAGGAAGCTGTGTGGCCCTCCCTGCCTGAGGAGCTAGCTTACTACATGCAGGCAGGTTCAGACAGGCATTGCCCAGGCATCCACCCTCTTATAGCCTCTGCCAAACACAGACTGGCTTGCAGAACTGCTCTGCACTTTAAGATTTGGTCCTGCAGGGGCTGGGAGACATGGAACGCTATTTCAAGCTGACGCTCGCTATTCGGGCCATCTCCGCACGGAGCATCCTCGGACTCTGCGTTACCTTGAAGATGCCCCCCTTCTGCCACGCAATCTTCTCAATGGTGTCCCCCAGGATGCTGGTGTGGTCGATGCCCAAGGAGGAGACCCCGCAGACCACGGGTTTCCTGCGAGGAGGGGAAGCAGGTGAACAAAGCGGGCACAGAGGAGCTGGCGAAACTTGGGAAACTGAGAGACACACGCAGGACGGAGAGGGGGGCTCGCGCTGGGGTCGTTGGTGTGGCTGCAGCTCCGGGTCTGGAGCCGCTTCAGGTCGGCCTGCTTTCCCCACGGGGCCGAAGCGGTTCCACGATGCTGTAGGGGCACAGCTCGGCTCCAGGCGCTGCCACTCAGCTGCTCCCTACCCGGGACCATCTCCACCGGGACACACCTGAGCATGAGCGGGGAGACAAGGGGGTCTCCTCCACCGGCCTGGCTGGGCCCTTCCTTCCCGGGACGCCTGCATCCGTGCCCCCCCCCCCGTCTGACCCCCTTCTCACTTCGCCAGGTAGATGCCTGGCCCCCCTTAGCCTGTAAGCCATTCTAGCGTGACACAGATTGGCTTGAGGGCTTCAGCAGAAAATAGAGCAAAGAACACCACGCGTGCACGGGGCAGAAAAGGCCGCCGAGTCCCTTTGGGCCAGAGTGGGGCACCCACGTGTTGGAAAGGGAGAAGGAAGCAACCGCGGGACGCGAGTGCCGGCACCGGGGCAGGTCTTCCTCCTGCAAGATCCACTGCCCTGCCAAGGGAGCCCTTGCTACTGAGAAGGCGAGCGGCAGCTCAGCCCCCCACCTGATGATGTTGGTGCAGTCATATGTGCCCCCGATGCCAACTTCCAGCACAGCCAGGTCGACCTGGAAGGGAAAGAGGGCAGGTCAGCCCGATACAGGCCCTCCTGCAACCGGGGGGGGAGGGGACTGGGAGACCCGCGGATGTTTCTGGAGGGAGCTGGGGCGACCAACAGGTCCCTTTCCCTGGCCATGAATTCTCAGCCTGCCAAATGCTCGTGATGCTCACAAGAGAAATGGGGTAAAAACGAAATCCTTCTGTGTGTTGCATCTAGGCCAAAATGGCTGGTCAAGTGATCTGTTCTGAAATTATGAGGGTAAACTGGAGCCAATGAACAAAAATAAATCCTTTATCTATTTTTTCCATTTGGATCACTTCCCCTGTTCCATTTTCAATCAGATAAACCAAGTTTCTCTAGATAACTAGATAAATACTAAATCACCTGAACACAAGCAGTTCATTTCTGAACCAACCAACGCCTCCTCTAACATACAACACCAAATTACAGAGCAATGTACGAACCACTAATCTGATTATTTTTCACTTCTGCCAAGACCCCATAACTCCTGCCGGAAGCTATGCCCAGATTCTTAACCTCCCTGCTCTTTCCTGTCACGATTAACGACCGTGAATTTTTGCTGAAAAAAGAAACGAGCCAAAAGGAGGGAAACAAGAGGGTGAGAGAAGAAAGAGAGTGGTGCGAGCGTACCTTTTCTTGCAAAAAGACGTGGAAAGCCATGATGGTGAGGAAGCGGAAGTAGGCCGGCATGGCGTTGTTGCTGGAATCCTGCGGAAAGAGCGAGAGGTTTAGACGGGCCGTGCAGGCAGCCAACGCCCAAGCTGCGCTTCTCAGAAACTTCACGCTTCAGAAACTTGTCAACGCAGCTCCCCTGGAGGGGACCGTGCTGGAGTCCTGCAGACGAGGTCAGGAGAGATCCAAGCAAGGAACCTGCACCGGGATCCCACCCCCACCCAAGCGGACGCAGAGGGAACCGTGTGGTTGACCTAACGGCGATCTCGGAGGAAGGGTGCAAGGGACGTTCCGAAGGGCAGAAACGGAAGAGTGGGCAGCTGGGATAGGCAGTGCCCGGTGACTTTACTCTGTCCAAAGGGAGAAGCGGCCACCTGGAGGAGTGAAGCGTGGTTCCCTTGCCCCCTCCCCTCCCCTCCCCGCCCAGAGTTAAACTTACAGGTGCGCCCTCTGTACTTGGCTCACAGTAACCTTGCAACATTTTCATGGCACCTGCTTCGTATAAATTCTAGGCCGGGCTGGGGAAAAACAGGCTGGGGGAATTGTGGTAGATTTGCAATGATTCTAGATGCCTCCTTGTCTCAGCAGCAGCGACAGCGACAGCAACACGCCTCAACTAGGCTGCTAGTGAAGCCGCGTAGGACAAGGAGTGGGCCGGGAGTGGAAGGACTCAAAGCTCAGTTCCACAACGGGAGCAGACCCCGTGGTCCGTTGCAGAACCCTATAAAAGTGGCCAACGGTCCAGAATGCTCGGGTCTGCAGCCCCAGACTTCTGTCCAGGGCCACCTGACTCCAGTTGCTTTTCTTATTTATTTGAAGTTTTTTATATGCCGTCCCCTTGCTATATAGCCTCGGGACGGCTCACAGAAATAAATAAATACAATACAAATAACAATTACAATTAAAACCCGGAAACACCCTGGCTACACAATTAAAACCTATAAATATTAAACACTGTTAAAATATTGTTTGGATAAAAAGGTCTTGGCCTGGTGCCGAAAAACAAATAACGACAGCGCCAGGCAGACCTCTCTGGGGAGCGCGTTCCACAGATGTGTCCCCAGACTTTCTGGGAGTGATGGATCCCGCCGGCCCTTGCGTCACGCGGGCAGCGGCCCCTGGCCCAGCCAGAGGGCTCACCTTGCTCTCGTCCAGTCGGTTGTACACCTGCCAGAAGTACTTGCTGAAAAGCTCCTTGCTGATGGGCTGCCCGTTGATGCGGATCCTTTCCCGCACTTGAACCAGATGTGGAGAACTTTGAGAGAGGCGGCAAAGGAAGCAGCACAGTAAAAGCACAATCCCATTGCCACCAATACAACATTTCCATCCATGCTCAGTCAAGAAAAGAGACCCACGACTTCCGGCATGTCCCGCTACAAACTCAGGTGGAGAAACTCATTTCGTGTGTGGAGAGATCCAGGTTGCCTATTGGGAGCACAGCCTGGATGCAGTTAAGCCAGGGAATTGTCGTGTGTTTACTGTTCTTTCCCCCAAACAACCTGTCGCTTGTTTACCTGTCTTTCCACGGTACAAGGACCGTCAGAGGAATCCCATGCCAGACGCAGCCCCTGTTCCCAGTGGCTTACTATTCTCCCCACATTCCTGCCCCTTCGAGACCAAGATGGGGCTGAAACGTACCTGTAGAACCCGGTTTTGAGGCCATAGTTACGGAGGATCCGTTCTGTGAAGGCACAAACCGACCCCTGAGGGAGGGAAAAGGAGCAAGGGGTTACCAAAGCCAAGAGGACAGGACTGCCCCTTCTGCAGGGGGAAGGCAGGAAAAAAGCTGTGTCTGTGTGAAAACACAGAGGAGGACAAAAGCAATTCAGCTTCCTCAACCAATGTGGCTGCTTTCTCCCCATCAAGTCTTTCTAGCATCGTTGTTACTGATCCTTCACCGTAGCAGCTGTCTCCATTTCATTTCGGTGCCACCAAATAGCAGAGGGTCTTGGGTGTTTCATGGCCATTCATAATATCACAAACCGATATTTGCATATACAAAATTTAAAATACTCTAAACTGCTAAACGAATTCAATACAAAGGCTAGATATGTTAAATGGCATTATTCCAGGCCATGAGATACCATAAATGCTTGGGAATACAAGGCAGTCCTAACCAGGCACCAAAAAGACGTCTAGGTGCCCAGGCGGGCCTCTGGGGGGGGGGGGGGGGCAGTCCCGTAACAAGGCGCCATCACCAAAGAGGTCCTTCTCAGGCTGCCACCTTTGGGCCTCCCTTGAAAGCGGCACTCAGAAGAGGGCCACAAATATTGACTGGGGTGTCTGGGTAGATACTAAAATGGGTACCAATTTAGACCGTCTTTCAATTTGTGCTATGACCTGGCCAGGAAGGAATACCCGGCCAGGTGGAAGCCAGTTCCGTGGACATCCATCCATCCTCCAGTCTCCAGGCAGTTAAAGGCACTCTTCAGCAGTTCCCAAGCACCACTATTTTGCAGGGTTTGTACTTGGATTCCACAGCTATCTTCCAAGTGCCCTTGGCAAAGGGTGGATTCCCACTTTACGAAAAAAGAGACTGAAGGAGAGCACTCTGGGGCCAACTCTGACAAACAAGTCCCTGGATCGAAAGACAGAGTGAGAGCGTGTGAGCAACCCTGTGAGAGAGACTGCGCTTATGTGAGAGTGGAGGAGAAATACAGCAAAGCAAAACGTTTAGACAGCAAAGAGTTCCACAACTCCCTGCTGGGCTTGGCTGTGCGGGGCACACGGGGAGTTGTAGGTCCTTTTGGCTGTTATCTAAGCATGCGCAAGGTTGTGCCCAGAGAGTGTGAGCAGCAAGACACAGAAGGGGAATATTTGGCCAGCATGCAGAAACAAGTTTGCTCAAGCAGGCTTTGGGCATGTAAGCCCATCTGTCGAGTGAACGCTGCTCTTATTCTGTAACGTTTGTGGATTTCGGCAGGGTGTAGATTTGGGAGAGAATTCTGAGGCTGTTTTCTGTGCACTTCTCCTGCGAGAAGTTCAGAGTGTCATTTTGGGAATGGGCCAGTCGGTGCGCCAAATTACTGCTGTATGACTGCCTTTATTTTTTAAATTATGCTTTTATCCACTTGCTTTTTAACATGAGCCAGGTAAGGGCCCTGCAGCTGATCCATCGTAACTATTGACTTAGTTTGGAGAATACAAAAACCTGTGCCCAAGGGCTGAGTAGAGCCGAGTGTCTTTTGCTGTCAAACATTGGCTCTTTGCTTAAACGCAGATCCTCGTGCTGTCTGAACCCACCTGGGAAAGCACACGATGGCAAACAACCCACAGGTCATAACCCACTGTTTCTTTGGGGTTGATTCACAAGCCATGGCTTCTCAGCGCAGCTGGGTTCAGACAACACAACAACCCAAGTCTCAACAACAACCCTTGTCTGAACCCAGTCACGTTAAATGGAGAATCGCGCTTTCCCAAATTTCCCCTGCTCACTAGGCCTCATAGTTCCCCCTTCACGTCAAGTGCTCTTCACGTCGCTGCGCTTGTTATTCTGGTCCGCTTACTTTGCCCTTTGTCCCGGTGACGTGAATAATGTTCAGTTGATCCAGGTCTTCAACCTGGCGGACAGAAAGCGAACGACCTTATCAGTTCTGTGTTTTTCAGATACTTTCCCCTCTCTCTCGCCACCCGTGCAGAAAACCAGAGTGGTTATGTAGGAGAGCTTCCCTTGGGCCTGAAAGGACACGAAAACCAAGATGGTGCTTCGTGTGGGCGTCCCGGAGCATGGCCAGCCGCTCACCTTCAACCCGCTCCGTTCCAGGAAACCGGACATGGCCTCCAGCTGCATCTGGGGGTCCCCCCGCCCACGCTTCACTTGCTCCAAGTAGCTGGCATTGGTCTGAAGGGTGTTCAAGGTCCGAATGGCATCCTAAAAAAGACCGGGCAAAGATACACACACTCAGCCTACGAAAACACGGCTTAAGAAAAACCGGAAAATGGTCTTTGTGACGCTTGGTTATACTTCTTCAAAATCCCTTGGCAGCTCCATTTTACTTATATACACTTTTTTTTGTTCTATATTCTAGTTAGGTTAAGAAAATAAAAATGCGTAAAAAGAGAGAAGGGTCCGTGTTTATCGGGAATAAGCATCGGTGGTCTCTTGTTCCACTTTCCACGGCCACGGCCAGGAATGGGGTTAGGTGGCAGGAAAGGAAGCTCTGCTCTGCAAGCCCTCCTCTGAGCAGGACTGCCCCTTCCTCTCTCTGGACCCCCAGCCCTTTCTCTGCCCCAGAGGAACCTGCTTCCCAGTCCTCCAAAAGCGGCCAGCATGCAGCAGGCACGTCTCCCCCGAACAGACATGCTCGCTCGGCAGAGGCACGGCCTTCAGGTGGCTCGTGACGAAGCAGGGACGGCTGGCTGCAGAGATGACCCTGCCTGAAGTCCGACTCTTTGGACTAATAGCCCATCTTTTCCTCCCCCTAATCAGGGAGGGGAACCCTCCAAATAGAGGGAGAAACCCAGAATGCAACACTGCAGGGTGCCTGCCTTTTGGCACGTGTTTGCATACACCCGAAGTCTCTCTGGTCAGTGTGGCCCAGTGGCTGGAGAGCTGGTTTCGGGCTTGGGTTCAAGTCCCATTCAGTCATGGACTCTCAGCCTAACCTACCCCACAGGGTCGTTGTGCGGGTAAAACAGAACAGAGGAGGCTCATGCAGGCCATCTTGGGCTCCTTATAAGAGGAAGCATGCAGTATATAAGTGTGAGAAGGAACACACAAAACATTCAAGCCAACTTAAAACATTGCCTAGCCCTAGATACGCCGAATCACAATTCCCTCTGCTGGCTGGGAAGGGCGCCCGGTCCGTTCTCAAATACAGACCCTGAACTGCAAAACAGACCATCAAACTTTCTGAAAGACGAGACTTCTCCCTGGGAAGAGAAGCACATTGGGTTGCTCAACAGGGTGGACACTGCCCTTAAAATAGGCTGCACGTCTCCCCTACAAGCCAGGGCGTTTTGCATCTATAAAAAGCGCTTTCTTCTGCCTTGTAAGTAGGATACTAAATTCCCTGTTGAGGAGAAATCGCACCGCACACATGAAGACATCCGCGAGCAGCTGCCAACACAGAAGTGACCAGGTCTCTTCCGCCATACGCTCAGCCCACCTGCCGCACCTCCCCCAGTCATTCATTCTATTTATTTTATTTATTTATTTATTTATTAAAACATTTTTATGCCGCCCCATTCGCCGAAGCCTCGGGGCGGCTTACAACACTAAGCTAAAATAATTATAATATAAATCAAAAATATAAATATTAAATTAAAAATACAAAAATACAGTATAAAATAAGCCGCCCTGGCCAGATAAAATCCAATAATATTAACAGTTAAAATGCCGCTTGAATACAAAGGTCTTCGCCTGGCGCCGAAAAACAAATAATGACGGCGCCAGGCGGACCTCTCTGGGGAGCGCGTTCCATAACTTAGGCGCCACCGCAGAGAAAGCCCTCCTCCGAGTACCCACCCTCCTAATTTCTTTCACGGAGGGTTCCTGGAGAAGGGCCTCCCCCGCCGATCTCAAGGGGCGGCTGGGCATATATGGATGCATATATTTACGAACCGCTTAGATGTAAAACATGCTGAGAGGAGTCCAAGAAAACCATGAGGATCAGCTACAACTTAAAGACAACTCAGGCAGATAAAAAAGTAAATAAGCTAAACGCAAACGGGTCTTGGAAACTCTCCTCCAGCTTGTGACTGAGGAAACTTCCGTGGCTTATTATTAAAGTGTCTTGGGAAAGGGCAGCTACAAACACAGCTGTCTGGTGATCAGTCTCTGGGGGCCTGAAATGGAAAGGTCCAGAAAAGAAGGGGTGGCCACCTTCCTTTTTATCCTATGCTGGCACATTTCTACATGTGATCGAGCCGTATTTCCTGCTTGGACATTATTGGATTAGTCACAAAAACTAATCCACATAGACATGCAGTACTGTTGGAAGAGGGCACAGCTGAATCACATGGGAGAAATTGGCATTCGCAAACCAGGGTGGGCCTTCGCCAGTGAGCCTAGATATTTTGGGGGGGAGGAAGAAGTGAGGCAGAGGCAAGAGCAGAGGCTGCCCCCCCCACAGAGGGGATATACATGTTGATACAGAGGCAAATGCAAATAAAATTAGGAGCAAGACTAAGTACCCTGAAACAAGCAAGAACCTAGGAAATCTCTGTCTGGAGCTAAGCACCTTCCAGAAATGTTTATTATCCACTGATTTACTGATTAAACTTACATCCCACATTAAACTTACATCCCACATCCCTCTAGGACTCTCTAAGTGAATTGCAGCAAAAGGATATATAACGACAGTAACAGAATAAAACCACAATAGAGTGAGCAAACAATAAACAACTAATCAAACAAAAGCATCTAACAATAAACAGTGAGCATCTGCCATGGCAATGCACAGCTGAGAGACAGGGGATGAGAAATTAAAACTGCAGAATTATATAAAAACTGAATCCCTTTAAACTTATGCAGACTAAAAGCAATTGTTAAAATGTCCGGAGAATGAAGGTGGATTACTTCCATCATACACTAGCAGAATGAGCTCAGAGACTTCTGCAGAAAAAACTCTCCTAGCATAACCAACACCGTTCACCTAGCCCTCTGCTATTATTATTATTATTATTATTATTATTATTATTATTATTATTATTATAACATTTCTATGCCGCCCCTTGCCGAAACCTCGGTTCCATGCTCCCGGGCTGTGAGGACTAGCAACCTGCACACTGTCCTTTACTGCAGAAATTCCAAGGGCCACTGCAATTTCAAGGAGGTTTGCAAGCGAAGGGGTACAAAACTAAGGGTACAAAACTTCCGCTACGATTCCCGAGGAAACCCCATGCACACACCTTTCGCACAGGCGCCTGCTCCGCTTCCAGGCGCAGCTGTTAATGATCTCCTTAATGAGTCCAGGAAGCGCGGCTGCAGAAGCGCGCATGCCCACCTGCCCGCCCGCCCGCACCTGCCCGCAGGTGAGGCGAGTCAGCGCTCGCGCAAGCCAGTCGGCGGGCATGGGGCGGGGGGGTCCCCTGCAACCCTGCGGGGCTCAAGGGGGGCTGGCGCGGCAAACCGCGCCCGCAGGACTGGACCCCGCGCCTCCCGCGCCAGAAGCGCGCGGCAGGCGGCCACGCGCGGGGGGCCGCGAGGCTCCCGTTCCCGCTCCCGCGCCCGCTCCCGCTCCCGCAGCGTGCGCGGGCTGACGCAACCAGCCTCGGCTCGCGGCCGCCTCACCTGGTACTCCATCCTGGGCGCGCGCGCCGGGCGGGCGCTGAAGGGCCGGGCGGGCGGCGGGGGG